AGCATAAGGAACAATTCGAAATTGAAATATCATCATATGAGGAATGCTGTATGTTTGTAAGTATTGATGTCAGATACGATTTTTAATTATTCTTCACATATTTTTGTTGTTCTCTTCGTTCTAATTCATACTAAATATTACTTTATGAAATCATTCAAATGGATCTTTCTCAAATTTAAAGCAAATTCTTGGAATATATATTTTTTAACATATGTGCTTTCTCCATAGCAGTTAAGGTGACAAAGGCTGAAGTATAGTTAAATACTTTAAATAACAACTTCCTATACAGAAGAGCACGATTATGGATGGCAAGAAACCAGTTTACAAATACACCGCGTACTACATTAAATACCATTACAATGCCGCTATTTGGATTATCCAAAATAAATTATATTTGCTCATTTGCGCCAAAAAATACCCATTATGAATGTGTCCAGTAGTTGATACAAGTTTACCTTTTTTGCAGTAAGAGAGCAGTGATTTATACTCTGTCTCTGTCATGCTGTATAACGTATTGATTCAAAAGCCGATACGGAAAAGAATGAGACACTCAAACAGGAAACGAATAAATCAAAATGTGATTCCTCTCAAAGAGATTCTAATTAACGGTGATCATAGACGGCTTTGCCAGATCAAACAGTAATAAAAGGCAAGCAATATACGTCAGCATTTCTCTCTGAAGAATAGTTACTCTCGTCATCATGTAGATATAAAGAAGCTATTAAACACGCATCTGTGTATTTTGCCAAATTCTCATCCGATTTGTCACCTTGCTTCATTATAGATACATTCTTCAGGAAAGGCGAAATGTATATTATTAATGTACATTTCCATTTAGTTATCAAATTAATCCTAAATTTATTAACCTCCTGAATTTCGTTTTAATAAAGAACTACTGCCGGCTATTTATCCTTCTTCTTCTTTCTTTCTTTCTTTCTTTCTTTCTTTCTTTCTTTCTTTCTTTCTTTCTTTCTTTCTTTCTTTCTTCTTCTTCTTCTTCTTCTTCTTCTTCTTCTTCTTCTTCTTCTTCTTCCTTTCTTTCTTTCTTTCTTTCTTTCTTTCTTTCTTTCTTTCTTTCTTCTTCTTCTTCTTCTTCTTCTTCTTCTTCTTCTTCTTCCTTTCTTTCTTTCTTTCTTTCTTTCTTTCTTCTTCTTCTTCTTCTTCTTCTTCTTCTTCTTCTTCTTCTTTCTTTCTTTCTTTCTTTCTTTCTTTCTTCTTCTTCTTCTTCTTCTTCTTATATTATTATTATTATTATTATTATTATTATTATTATTATTATTATTATTATTATTATTATTATTATTATTATTATTATTATAAATGTTCCATACGGCTTTTGCACACTGATGCTCTACTTGGAAATAATCCTTAGCTGTTTACAGATGACTATAATTTCTCAGTAATCTGTACGATGGATTCGTCAAACTTATTAAAACTGCCAATTTATCCTTTCTCTCACACATCTCTTACTAATTTACTTCTGTCAAATCCTCGATATGGATTAAACATTACATTTGGAATATAGTGTACCAATAATGGTAACCACACATTTACGAGTCATAAACTATATAAAATTCTGCGTTATTTTATTTTCTTCAACTCTACCACATACATTTTCTTCTGAAACAAATTTGGCTCTTACCCCATGATGGTATAATACCATTACACTATACCACTATTGTGCTATTACCCCATGTTGGTATAATACCATTACACTATACGAGTATTGTGCTATTACACCATGTTGGCATAATACCATTACACAATACAAGTATTGTGCTATTACCCCATGCAATATTATCCTATTACCCCGTGCTGATATTGTGCTAAATTAATCATTAAAATCAGTTACAAATATCTTGCTAATTAATGCAATTGTAGTCACAATTCGATAAATTATGAAAAGGTATGGGAATATATTTATACTACTTTTTCTATTCTTTGAGTGGCTCGTCACAATTTTGGCTAAATATTTTAACGTCTCCAAAAGAACAAAAAAAAAATCAGCTATCCCCATCTGTGGATGTCTGAGTTCGATATAAACAGAATTTCAATACATACATACATACATACATACATACATACATACATACATACATACATACATACATACATACATACATACATACATACATACATGCATGCATGCATGCATGCATGCATGCATGCATGCATGCATGCATGCATGCATGCATGCATACATACATACATACATACATACATACATACATACATACATACATACATACATACATACATACATACATACATACATACATACATACATACATACATACATACACACACAAATACATACATACATACATGCATGCATGCACGCATACATAGATAGATAGATACATACATACATACATACATACATACCTACATACCTACATACATACATACATACATACATACATACATACATACATACATACATACATACATACATACATACATACATACATACATACATACATACATACATACATACATA